TAAGTGATAATTGCTGTCGAAATGTCGCCCATTTCTGACGACAATCGTATCGACTTCTGATCTTTGCCACGCTCTTTCGCCTGCCTAATGCGTTTCGTTGTAACCGTTTTGTGTGGGCAACCCTTGAGAAGATCGGCAGATAACCCACGTCTATTTACTCCTTCAAATTGTGATTTTATCGTTCTTGTTTCCAGCAGATCGGGCTGCTTCTCAATTATTCAACGTACATTTACAGGGGTTTACGCAACTATGGCTAACAAGAGTGTCGCTAGAAATTGGTGGAGCTTGTCGACGATTTTGGCTGATGTTTGATCGGTATCTGCAGGGTTCTTTCAAAAACCCCATACTTTCACACTTCGGCTAATTGTTTTATTAATATTGGGCAAATTAACGATTTGTCCGTTTCTCCTCCAGTCTGAGAGCATTAATTTGTGTTCGATGCTGGCCAATGGAGAGACTTTTCAACGAAGTTTTCCTATTTTAAATATTGTAAGTAAAATTTGAGGAACATTTCTTTGAGCAAATTTCTTCTAGTTTAATGGTTTGGAAGCTAGAAACTTTATATGCGCCTCACTTAACACTTTATTAGTGAGAAATTCCAGCTGAAAGATTATTACGAGGCATTGGATATTTGCACCAGGAACAGATATACAGGGTTATTTAACTTGCAAACCTTATCAACGTCTTGATATTTTAGCTTCTGTTTCTTATGAGGTTAGGAATATTCGATTAAACCTAAGTGAAGAAAAACAGATTTTGTGATTGGCCGTCAAAAAGACCACTTCATTGATTTAGTTCCCACACTTTTTACTACAAAACAACCCGGATGAAGCGACGATTTTGAAATAAAAAAAAGCCGAAAAAATCGATGTTGGACTTTCAAACGCATTTTTGAGATACTAACAATACCTAAAGACGTTGAATCTACAGCCAGATTTTTCAGGGGGAGTAAAATTTTTTAAACCTTCCACACTTTTTCCTTCATGACAAAACACACTTAAAATACTGGCATTTCCTAAAGACTGAAACTGCAGTCTGATTTTTCCAAGAAAATTCGTTATTTTTAACCTCCCACACTTTTCACTTCAACAAGCCTGATTAGACGCCGATCTTGAAATTTAAATCAACCGAAGAAACCGAAGATTTCGGACTTTGTATCATGGAACCTCCCATACTCTTCATGCAAGGGCTATTAAGAGCCAATGAACTGTGAAAACATACCGTTTTTGGGGGTTAAAGATGTCTAACGCTGAATCTACAGCCAGACGAAACTCGAAACGACGAAAGAGTTTCGTTTTTTTGAAACTTTTCGAACTTTTTTTGCAAAACAAACCCAAATTTCGGTTAGTTAAGAATATGGCTAATATAGAAGCGCTGAAAATACAAAGAATTTTTCTATCTTTTTCCCAACTTCTTACTTCAAAAAAGCAATTAAGCGCCTATTTTGATATTTGAGAAGACTGAAGAAAGCGAAAATTTTGGACTTCATCTTATCAATTTCAGATTTAGACGGTAAAAATATCTGAAGATCCTGAAATTACTGCCGTATTTTGCCAAAGTGGTTGTTCCGTTTTGTAAGGCTTCCAGACGTTTTTTCTACAAAGGATCCCAAATCCAGGTTTCAGCCACTAGCGAAAAACGCTTCAAACGATTTGAGCAAAATTCTCAGGATTTTTAACATTAAATATCTTCTATAAAATGGGGGAATTTCAAATCGTTAACACCTTTGGATTTGAAGATACAAATTTTGAAAGAACGCACATTTGAGTGAAATCTCGCGAAAATCCACAAAAGCGAACGGTGAGGAAAGTGACACAAAATTTACTTTAAATTGAGGTAGAAAAGAGTGAGGTTGATTGAGTGGCTTACCTAGGAAGAATTTAATTTTTCTTCCTCTCCCACAGCGCTTACTGTAAGGGCCGATGACGCGACGATTTTAAAATTAAAAAAAAACGAAAAAGGAGAAGATCTTGGACTTTCAAACGCGTTTTTGGGATGCGAAAAATACCTAAAGACGGTGTTGAATCTACAGCCAGACATTTCAGAGAGAATTACATTTTTTTTAAACCTTCCACAATTTTTCCTTCATGATAAGCCCAACTTGAGGAACGTTTTGATATTTCTAAAAATTTCCGATAGCGAATATATCGGGCCCTCTCAGACACACTTAACATACCGGTATTTCCTAATGACGCTAAAACTGCAGTCCTTTTTACCTCCCACACTTTTCACTTCAATCAAGGCCAATTAGTCGCCGATTTTGAAATTTAAATCAACTGAAGGAAGCGAAGATTTCGGACTTTTGCACGTTCGTTTTCGATCTAAACACCTTTAACGACTACAAAACTACATCTGGCCATTTGACGGGGAGTTAAATTTGTTGAACCCTTCTACACTTTTGTCTTAAAACAAATAAACAAATCCAAATTTAGGATGATTTTATAAATTACAGACGGAAGAAACTAATTGCCTAGAAACGCTGAATGTACAGCCAAATTTGTCCAGAATAGTTCGCATTTTGAAACCTCCGACACTCTTTACCCCAAAGAAAGGTCTAAATGGCGCCGAATTTGAAAATATATATATTCAATATATATAATAATATTCAAATAGTAAAGAAAGCGAAAATTTCGGAGTTTTAAAACTCCTTTTTAAATGCTGAAAACCCCTAAAGACGCTGAAACTACAGTCGAACTTTTCAGAGCGAGTTCCTTTTTAGTAACACCAAACCCTTTTTCATTTGAAACGAGCCCGATTTGGATAAGATTTTTATATTTCTGAAGTCTGCAGATCGAAAAGATGGTGGTCCCTGAAGCATCGGACTCAAATATCGGCATTTCTGAAGACGCTAAGATTTCTAGAAGAGCTTTTCCGGAATGTTTGTATTTTGAATACTTTTTACCCCAAATCAAGCGCGATTATGCGCCGATTTGAAAACTTCAAAAACCAGAAGTAAGCGAATATTTTGTACTTTTGAATACCCTTTCCAGATGGTGAACAGCTTTAAGGACCCTAAAACTACAGTCGGATTTTATAGCAAAAGTTTCTTTTTTGAAACTTTTCATAAATTTTTCCCCAAAACGATCTCAAATTAGACCCGATTTTAAAATGTCTCAATCAAAAGAAAGCTAAGATTTTGGGCCTTTGAACGCAGTTTCAAATATTGCCCTTTTTCGGACACGCTCAATGTACAGACGGGCTTTTGGAGAGCGAAGATTTGGACCCTTCGACCGCAGATGTTAGATACCGGTATTTTCTAAAAATGCTGAAATTACATCCGGCTTCTTCGAGAAAAGTTCGTTTTTGGAAACCTTCCAAACTCGCTACCACAAAGCGAGCTTAATTTAAAACGGATTTTGAACTTTCTGAATACAAAAATTAGCGAATATTTCGTTTTATAAAGCGGCATTCAAATGTCGAAAATGCCTGAGACAAACTATATAAGGATTTTTCCGGAAAACACTGCTCTAAAACAAACCCAATTAAAATCTTACTTTTAAATTTAAAAAATGCAAAATCATTGAAGATTTCTAACAGTCGAATACCGTTTTTGGTGAGGAAAAGTCCTAACGACACTGCAACTACAGCCTAATTTTTCTTAGAGTTTATGTTTTGAAATCGGTTACACTATTCACCCCATAACGAGCCCAATGAAATACCGATTTTGAACTATCAAGTTGCGAAACAAAGCGAATATATCGGACTTTCGAAGGTTTTTTTAGATGCTCAAATTACCTAAATATGCTGAAGCTACAGCCGGACATTTCAGGGAGAGTTTAACTTTTTGAAACCTTTCACACTTTTTCCGCCAAATGGATACAAATTTGAAAAGGATTTCGATATTTTTCATATCTTCAGATGGCGTAAATATCGGGTCGGTGAAAATGCTGAAACTATAGCTAGATTTTCCCGGAAAAGCTTTTATTTTGAAACCTCCCACACTTTTGAAGCTGAAAATTCAAACAATTTTTCCCGTAAAGTTCGTTTATCGAAACTTTTTACTTCAAAAAAGCTCGATTAAGCGCCGAATTTGAAATTTCAGAAAATTCAAGAAAGCGAAGATTCCGGTCTTTCAATTTCCGTTTTCCCAGGATCCCAAAACCAGGTTTCAGCTACTGGCGAAAAACGCTACAAACGATTTGAGTTTCAATCGGAGTTTCAATTCTTTAGCAGTTCCGGATTTGAAAATACAAATTTCGAAAGAATTGAGCAAAGAAAAACAAACAAAAATGCTGATTCCTCATAAAGCAAGTCTTCTACTAGGAATGATTTCAGAGTTTCTAATATTCACTTCTTATTCTTCACGTCCCATTTAAATGGCGAATTCTTGAAGATTTTTTCTTCTGGAAACTTCATGGAAAATCCGATGTTTGTGCCAATTCACTTTACATCTTCAAAAATACCGCCCCTAATTAGAAGGCAATAATACTATTACCACGCTTCCGCTGCTAGAGGAAAAGAAGATATGAATGAAGAAGACACAAATTGAGCAAAAGCTTATATGCTGAATCTTCATAATAAAGTCTTCTGTTAGAGGTGATTTCAGATTGTCAAATTTCTACTATTATTGCACCTCTTTAAAGAGCGAAGTTCACAAACTTTCTTCTTTTTTAAACCTTTTCAAATGCTGAACTATGCGCCAAAAATGTCGCCCTAAATAAGGAAGCAATAATAGTATTACAAAGCCTCACCTCTAGAGGAAAAAGAAGACATGAATGGGACAAATTAAGACTTTAGAACTTCCATCTAATAAAGAAACGCCAAAACTATTAAACCAATAAAAAAACAGCTGCAGAGAATACGGCGCAATACCATTCAGATTGAGCTGAAAATAGGTAGCAAAAGCCACAAGGGGAAGTTGAAACATTGTGCAGAAACGAAAAAATTACTAATAGCCATCAAAATTTGCATTAATTGGGGTAAATCGGCTTGCAAACACACACTGAAATTTTAATTTTCTGCAGTCCCAAACACGATTAGTTCATTTCAAAAAGTTTAACTAAGGTTGCATTAATATTTATTCAATTTCTTCTAAGAACAACCAAGAATCCTTTCTACAAAACAGGATAGCTTGCAGCTGTAGCCACTCCACATTGATTCTCCTTGTTCCGGCTCATTCGTATAAATCCCTTCTCGCCCCAGTCGGCTCCCCAGGAGTTCTTCACCAGCCAATACTCCTGTCCATTATCGGTCCCATATCCCACAGCCAGAATTCCATGGTTTAGGGAAAGTCGCGAATTCAAGCAGGCATCATTATCAAAAACTCCTTCTTCGTAATGCTGGAAACCTAAAGCATCCACAGCTATGGAAACTGGACCCACCGTACCCACAGCTGCTTGGAGCTCAGGCTCGCTTCCACTGGTCACATCCACGAAAGATTTCACTTTGACCACAGCTTTACTGGAGTCGAAGTTGCATGTCGAGTCGATTCCCAAGTAGGGATAGTCGCTTTCCGACATGATTCCATTATCGCAAACGTATTTGAAGGCGTAGTCCATCAAACCTCCATTGCAGCCGTAGTCTCCATAGGAGGACGTACAGTCAACCAGATTTTGCTCACTTAGAGAAACCAGCTGGTTGTGGGCGATGAAGTATTGGGCTTCAATGGCTCCAGTCTGAAAGGTATTGCGGATTAAAGCATTGGAAACAGTTGCAGAATGAGTGCTTACAGCACTGAAGCTCCAACATGATCCACATTGGCCCTGATCTTTCACAGGCGTCACCGCCCCCAAATCCACCCAGTTGATTTCTTCAGGAACATCATCAGCTTGGAGGGAAAATGTTTTGTTCGTTTGGGGACCGACTTTCAGTCCAAGTCGCTGAGCAAACTCCTCCACAGTCAGATCGGCAAACTTGTTCACTCCCATTTTGTAGGACACCAATCCATTCTCATACTTGGCGTTGTGGGAGGCGATTTTTTCCAGATTGACCCTAAAAGTTGCGTAACGTGCTTGGTCCTCTAAGAGGCTGGAGTAGGAGCGGCCGAATTTCGTCTGAAATTGAGGATTGAGGTAGAAAAGAGTGAGGGTGATTTAGTGGCTTACCTTGAAAGAATTCCATTTCTCCTCCTCCCCTAGGGCGCTTACTGCAAGGGCCATGGAGGCAACCAGTGCCAAAAGTTTCCACTGAAACACGTTCAAATAGTGAATTTGCTTGAATATTTAAAAATTGAAAATTGTCTATGGCAAAAATAAATATTGATGTATTTGTGTGCAAGTTATGTGTGGGAGTGAGAGGTCGATTTGTTTGGGAAGGGATGACGCCATGTGGGCAACCGATCTAAAAGGAAACTTATAGTGCAACAAAGACATAAAGATCTATCTAAAGGACAACGCTAATATGAGTTCAAAGAAGTCGATATTTTGAGAAGAAAATAATCCGGAGATTTTTAAAGAAAAAATATCAGTATTTAAACAGAAAAATTTCAAAATTTTTTTAAATCTAAAACAATCTCGAAAAAGTGTTAAAAATCAAGAAAATTTTATACAAACCATTTCGATGAGTAGATGCCGTTGTTTCGACTGAATAATGCATCTCCTGCCTCTTTTCCAGCATTTATACGAATCGCCTCCAGTTCAATTCGGAAATACTTGAGATAAAAACAGGTTGCGATTTCCAGAATTCGAAAAAACAATCGCTCCTTATCAGCTGGACAAAAAAAGCCAATAACTCTCCCGTCTGAGTGGTTGAAGTCAATATACCATCAAAAGTCAGTAAACTGACCTCCCAACGGCTCACAATCCTCCAAAACGAGTTCAATTCCAACGCATTTTTCCCACTTAGAGAGTTCAACAGACTGTGAAAAAACTGCGCACAACTTAAATCCCTTACGCTGCATGCTCCTGTTGTTTCGCTGTTACCCGAAACCCTTAATGTTAGTGAAATTGGCCCCATCAATTTGGCCATCCATTTAAAACCAATATCGGGTAACCTACTCTTCTTAAATGAGGCGCGCACGTCTGAAATAAAAATCGCCCATGCAAACCGACCCTTAGCTAATCATCTGGAGGATTATTAAGTGAATTCGATACTTGCATCGGTATCAAGTCGAAAATCGCCTTTGATTTTCTGATAAAGGATTTAACAAAAAAAATGAAGATGGGCCAAGACATGAAGAACAATCATCAATGACTTCAGACTGTTCAGAACCCTCTTGCCTAGAGTAGTCAATCAATAAACTATTTTCAAACCATCATATCTTCATATATTACTGTAAATAAAATAAAACTAAAGCTGGCTCAAGCTGGGCAAAGCTCCAGCCTCATTTCCTTCAAGTTTTTCTGCATCTAAGACTGCATTTATAGTAATTTAGTTCGAAGCGAGAATCTTAGATCGATGGGCTTGGAAATAAACGGCGATTTGCGCTTGGTGGCTATTCGGATGTGTCTGAGGACATTTGCATAAGCTATTTTCAGCAGAGTCATTGCGTAGTGTTTTCCTGCAGGTAAACTCAAAATTTGAATTATAATGATCATCTAAACTAAGGTTGTGTGAGTGTTACCAATGCAACCTCTTCCCCCCCCCCCNCCCCGCCATGGAAAATGGCATATAGGAGCCAGGGACGACTTTCTGGACAGTTTCTGGCAAGGATCGAGTTGGGTCAAACTGCTTGGGGTTTTTCTAGTATTTTGGCTCTCGGTGTAGATGGTGAATGACTGCAATGAAGTCCACAACTTTCGGAAGAATCTTGGTTTTCCCTAAAGGAATGGTTTTTAGTTTCATCGTTCCATCGAGGTTTTCTTGTAAAAAAGCGAAATTGCCATGTCGTATTTCTTGTTTGCTGTTCCCGTGTTCAGTTTCTGTTGCACTTTTTCTAGATTCTCAGTGTTTCTTTATTTGATGTATTTTTGTGGTGTAACAAAAACTTTTATCCCTTTTCTGTATATTGACATTGTCTGTAGTCCTTGTGTCTTCTTTTTCTTTGGAACTAGTATCAACACTTTATTCCTTAATGAATATTTGTTTAATGTGTTAAATTTTATGCTTTTTTAACTTTAATTTGATTTTGTTTGTTTTTCCTTTGTTTTTTCTAAATCCATAATTGACTGTGTTGACCATTACTTGATAGTGTTTCTTAATAGAGTTTATTAATTTGAATAATCATGTGCTTGTTCGAATTCTTTAACTTTCTTTTAACCTGCTTCACTGTTTAAATTTAAATTTTGATTAAATTTAAAAAAAACTCAAATTTTCCAAGTTGTTTCAAGCTTCTTATCGCACATAATTTTTTTGTACGTTTTTCTTAATATTTCCAACTGAAAATTGCGGAAATGTCGATTCTAAAATTTATTGAGAATCGTTTCGCTTTGACTTTTTCCTGCTTTACTTTTGAAGCTTCTGGTTTTCGGTCTGTAATTTACAGGTAAATGAAGGAAAAATTGAAGTAAACGTTTGTTTGCTTTTTTCCACACACTTTCTGCCCTTTGTGTCCAGATCCTTTTATCATTTTACCTTCTTGAAAAGTTTTATTCCGTAGTTATTGTTCAATTGTTGATTTTTTTGTTCATACGATTTAGTTAAAACCTTTGTATATTTGGATAATTTTTCGTTTCTTATTTAATTTCTGTTGTACATATTCCAGATTATTAGATTTACAGTTTCTTCTTACTTGATGTATTTTATCGAAAATTGTTCTTGTTCTGCTTCGACTTTTTACCGTTTTACTTTTGAAGCTTTTGATTTTTGGTCTGTGTTTTCCAGTTATATGAAGAACAAAGTGAAGTCAACGTTTGTTTGTTTTTTTCCAAACAGTTTTTGCCATTTTTGTCCAGATCCTTCTATTTTATCTTCTTGAAAAGTTTTATTCCGTATTTATTCATCATTCGTATTGTTCAATTGCTATTTTCTTTGTTTTGGTTCAAACACCACTTGGCTCATATCCAGTAAGTTGGCTGCAAGCATTCAAAATTTTCCCGGATCCTGCCTTGAAAAGTTCATGCAAATCGAGAAATTGCAGAGTAAATGGAAGCTGGAAGCGAGAATCTTCCCTACTGGCAAAGAAAATCGCTTTATCAGCATCAAATCAAGAGGTTTTTTACTTACGTCTTTTTCCAGTCAATAAGGCCACATAGGCGTTCCCAACAGCAATTTTTTGAGCTGATGAGTCTTAATTACGTTATAAATTAGGCATTATCGAGAAGTTGACACAGGTTTACAAATTCTAGTAAACCAGTCACAAATGACTCAGTTTTTTGGAGAGAGAAGAGAAGCGGTTTGTTAGAAACGATCAGTTTTTGCTGGAAAAACCTGTGAAAAGTTCTCAGTGCGCTATTGATTTTTTGAGAAAACTCGTAGTTTTCTCTATTTTAAAGCAAACATTTTCTCTTCTTCCTGCATGAAGCAGAAAATGGAAATGTCTGACTTTCAGAGCAATACATTCCTAAAAATATATCAGTTTGGAGACTATACAAATTTTTCTCAGCCTGCTCCTGTATGCTCAATAAAAGTGAAAGAAAAAAATCTTCAATGTGCTCCCACCTGCCTAATAAACTTGGATGTTTTGTGACTCTCACAGCAATTATTTTTCTATCCAACGCTAGGACTTCTTTATTCTTTTTCCAACCTTTTTCGTGTCAAAGCAAAAATTTTCTAAAAATTACCAATACTTACTGGGAAATGCTGTGGACATTTCTTGGTGCGCCACTGACTTTTGAGAAAATTCACAATTTTCTCATTTCTCAGAGAATCTTTGCTCTTTTGACTTGAACAAATAAAAATGAGAATTATTTAGGCCTTTAGGCCTCAGAGCACTGAATTTCAAAAAAATTATTAGTTTCTATAGGACGACGATGCAAAAATTTCGAAGTACGCTCCTGATTAACCAATATACCTGAATATCATGTGGTTTTCAGCGCAAAATTTGTTCTTTAAAACCATCAACTGAAATATGGAAATTCCATTCAGGGTCAAAGCACTAATTTTCTTAAAAATCACTAGTTTTTACTAACAGAATTTGTCAGAAGAGCCCATAAATTTGCTAAAAATGACCAATTTTTACTAGAAACTGTAAAAATTTCATAAAGCGCCACTGATTTTTGAGAAATTATATACCCGAGAATTCTAGAACTCTCAGACGAAATATTTTCCTTTTCAACCATCAACTGAAATATGGAAATTCTTGTCACGTCCAAAACACCAATTTTCTTAAAATCATCATCACTCATTGCTAAGAGAATTTGTGAGAAATTTCCAGTGCGCCCCTGACTTTTTGAGTAAAACAACAGTTTTGCTACTTTTAAGACAACTTTTGTCTCCTGACTGTAAGAAGTAGGAAATGCGAATTTTGTCAGGTTCCAGAGGACTACATTTTCAAAACATGATCACCGTCTTTCTGGAGGAAAATCTTCAATACCTTCTCGTTTTCGGAGTAAACCAGGATATTTAGTGACTTAGAGCAATTTATTTTTTCTTGAAACAAAAGGACTGAATTACTGAAACACAAATTTTCTGAAAATGAGAAATTTTTACTAGGAGAAGCTGTAAAAATTTCATAGTGCGCCAATGAATTTTGAGAAACTGACAATTTTTCAATTTCTCTGCGACTCTTTGCACTCTTACTTCAAGAAGTAAAAAATCTGAATTTGCTTAGGCTTTAGAGCACTAGTTCAAAAAAATTATCAATTTTTTTTGGACAAAGACTCAAAATTTTCTAAGTACGCTCCTGAGTACCTATATATACCTGAGAATTCTAGGACTCACGGACTCACAGACCAAATATTTTTCTTCTAAACCCGTCAACTGAAATATTGAAATTCCCCTCACGTTCAAAGCACTAATTTTCTTAAAATCACCAGTTTTTCCAGAAATCACATAAATTTCCAGTGCACCCCTTATTTTTTGAGTACAATAACAATTTTGCTATTTTTAAGACAAATGTTTGTCTTCTGACTGTAAGAACTAGGAATACTAGGCATTGGTAGGTGTGTTAGGTTCCAGAGCACTAAAATTTGAAAACATGATCCGTTTGTCGGAAAGATTTTTTTTTAATCCTCAATACACTCAACTTTTCAAATAAACTTGTATATTTTGTGATTTTCAGTGACTTTCAGAGATTTTTGCTTCACACACAAGGACTGACCTAATGAAGAATTTTTTAAATTAATGTGCGAGAATTTTCTAAAAATGGTCAATTTTTACTGGGAGAATCTGCAAAAATGTCTTGGTGATTCACTGATTTCCAAATCCGAAAAATTTCCAAATCCGCTCCTGATTACTTAATTTACCTGAAAATTCTGTGGTTTTCAAAGCAAACATTTTTCTGTTAAAACCATCAACTGAAAGTTGAAAATTTCTTTTCGCTTCAAAGCACTCATTTTCTAAAAATTATTGGAGAAAAATCTTCTACCTGCTAGAAGTAGGAAATGGAAAATAATTTAGGTTTCAGAACATTAAATTTCCAAAAAAAAATATCAGTTTTTGCAGGGAAAAGGTTTAAAAAATCTCAGAACCAAGGACCCGGACCGAAACGAAATAACTGTTCCGTTCCGGTTTCGGTCCAAGGCAAAATTTTAAATTTCGGTTCCGTTACGGTTCCGGTTTAGAAAATAATTTCCAATTCGGTTCCGTTCCGGTTCCTGTTTTTTTTCGGTTCATTTCGGTTCCAAAATCTATATATAACAACGAACGAGGACAAAGATGTTCTAATTAGGAATCTCACTATATTTTTCCTTGCTTGTTGTATTATACAAGACAAAAGATGCGCAAAGGATCCACTGCTTCATACGATACTTCGGCTGGTTGTATCATAGGGGGTAGGAGTGTAGGAGGACTAGCAACCCCACACAAGGATTGAAATTCAGGTAACATTAAAAGGAACAACATTGCAATAAAAACTCCCATACAAAAATTAATTTAGTCGTTGTATTTTTGAAAAGTGATTTGTCAATGAAGTTTCTTCTGACTTTAGCGCTTTTCTCTTCTTTCCTTTTTCACTCAGGTCCACAACTTCGTCAATTCCTCTTCTTTCACTCTTATTTCCTTTTAAACATCGTTCTTCCTGGTTCATGTCTTCACCATCTTTTGAGGAGTTGCTTTTGTCCAACATTTCAATTTCAAATATTTCTTTGCTGGTGATCGAAAAACTAAAATGTTTTCTCCATGCAAAACCTGAAATATTGAAATTCGTTTTAGTTACAACGCAACAAATTTTTAAATATGAAGTTTTTGGTGGAAGAAGCTCTGAAATATTATCAGTGCGCCACTAATTATTTGAAAAAAAATGAAATTGATGTTATTTTTGAGACACTTTTATTTTCTACATTTTTTGCCCATTTTTCTTAAATTAGAAAACTCAAATATTGAAATTGACTTTAGTTTCAGAGCAGGAATTTTTTAAACGTGACAAGTTTATGCTGGGAAAATCGCAGAAAAAGTATCTGTATGCCACTGGTTTTCAAAAAACTAACAATATTGCTCTTTCTAAGTAAAACTTTTGTCTCCCAACTGCAAAAAGTAGGAAATGAAAATCTCTATAGATTTCAGCCAACAAAATTCTATAAATTTTTAAGTTTTTGTAGAGGGAAACTTCAAACATTCCTGGACCTGTTACTGCTTCTTCAATAAAATTAAAGTATTTGTGGTTTGTGGGCCTCAGAATCAAACATGTAAAATCACGTTTTAGTAGAAGATTTGAAAATTTCCTCGGTACACTTCTGATTGCTAAGTGAAACTCAATATATTCATTACTTGAAAGCAGAGCTTCATTTTTTGAAAGCAAAAAGTGGAAGTTACTTCAGGATGCGTCCATAATTTGTTTTAAATCAGTTTTCATAAAGGCAAGTTTTGAAAATGGCTGAATACGCTTCAGATTTGCCCAATCAACCTAAGAATGTGGTGGCACTTATTGCAAATATTTGGTTTCTGAACACAATACTTAAAATCTGGCGCAATTTGAGAAATTTCTAGAAAAAGTCGCCGTTCCAAAGCAACAAGTACAAACTGAAAAAGCGGCTCTGACCAGCAATTTTACGAAGCAAGACCAGTTTTCGTTAGGAAAAACTTTGAAAAAATTCCGGTACGTCTATAGTTGGCTGAAAAACTGATATTTTGTTTCCTGAAAAAGCGAGTTTTATTTTCTGGTTGGAACAAGTGAAAATGGAAGTTTTTTAAGACGCGTCTAAAAAAATTTACTCAAAATGGTCAGTTTTCGTAGGGGGAAATGCTGAAAAATCATGATTTTAATCCTGACAAATAAGGCGCACACTGAAAAATTTTTGGAAACAAAGCCAAACTGGTAGTTTCTTTGGGAAGCGTCCAAAAATTATATCAAAAGATTGTCAGTTTTCATAAGGAGAAACTCTAAAAATTCCTGAGTCCGCTCCTGATTGCTCCATGAAATACAAGCTTTGGTTACTTTTACACGTTTTGTTTGGCACTTGAACCCAATTAATAAAATCCGGAAATGCCTTTTAGTGTAACAGTAGCAATTTTTCAAAAAATTGCCAGTTTCTGTCAGGAAAAACTTTAAGAAAAATCCCAGTACGCCACTGATTTTCGTATGAAATAAGGCGCAAATTGACCAATTTTTTGTAACAAAGTCGTCGTTCGAATGCAACAAGTGAAGAATGGCCAGTGTTCGTTAGGAGAAATTTTAGAAAAATCTCGGTACGCCCTGGCTGGCTGATAAAACTGAAATTTTGCTTATTAAAAAAGCGAGGTTTGTTTTCTGGACAAATCGGGTGCAAAATAGAAGTTCCTTTGAGATGCGCCCAAAAAAATTTAAAAAACTGTCAGTTTTCATAAGGGAAAACTCTCATGTTTGGCTTTTGAACTGAAAAAATTTATTCTAGTAGTTCCTTTTATGATCCCAGCAGTAATTTTACAAAAAACTGCCAGTTTTGTCAAGAAAAGAATTTTAAAATAAATGTTGTGCGCCACTGAATTTTGAGACAGCAATTTTTTGAAAAAAGGTGAAAAGTGCAAAATGGAAATTTGTCAATTCAAGATAGTCAGAATAGGACGCTTCAAGATAGTCAGAATAGAAAAATCTTCATCTCTGGGCAACTCCGTTACCCTACTGCTAATCAAATTAATAATGCAAAAAAATGAGAAAACCATGAATCACATTCCATTTTCCCAGGAAATGTTAAAATTGCTACTGACTGCGCCAAAAAAGGGCCTGTCAATCCACAAGTTTCCCATGCAAATAAGCGCTCGTCTACAGCCAAAATGACCAAACCTGATTTTGCTTGTACGTTTTTAACGCTACATCGGCTTTTAAAAAGCAATCCTAATCCAATACATCCCTTGTTTGGTCGCCCCATGTTTACCGAATACTAATGCAAAGATTATAACATAACCGGGGATTAGTTTAATACTTTGCAAAGTGAATGTTGGCCGCTCCCTCCGCTTGTTTCACTCCCTCACTGGAAAAAAACAGAACGATTCCTCGCGGGGCCCTCTTTATTCCGCTGTTTTTTTCTCTCGATCGACACTAATAGGATTTAATGGTGTATGTTTTGTTACAATTACCGCCCTTCTGGCAGATGTAAATTGGACTGGGATCGAACGTGTTTCGTTTTAGATTACCGATGTAATCCCCTCGCCAATCTATGCGGGTTAGTGATGTTTTAATAAGGTGTGAAATTGCAGTTGACATTTTGTGTACCATCAGCTGGATTGACTGGAGGTTTTCGTTCTTGAGGAAGTGGAAGAATTTTTAGGGATTTTTCGGGAACATGCAGGCACTGCACTGGATTCAACTCCATACTCTGATTTTACTTAAAAACACTTTTATTGTCCTTCAAACAAAAGAACCCCCACTTAGCTGCAAATTACTATAACTACGCAAAGCCTATGCTTCTTGGGGTGCTTGGCTGTAGGGCGAATGAGGTCCAATGCCCAACTGATTGGGGTTTATCCACGTTTTGGGGTATCTGATGAGGTAGAAAACCAGCCCCATCAAAAAGAGCACGGTGGACATCAGTAGGATGATGGTCACTCGATGGGAGGTTTTCCCGTAGATTTCTGGAAAACATTCCGGCAAGTCCTGGTGGGTGAGGCTGAGAATGCGTTTCCTGGCCAAGTGGCTTGGGGAGGAGCATCTGGAACAATCAGTGATAATTTATAAATTGTGCAGAAAGATTTTCACGTCTAAAAGGAAAGTAATAGAGAACTCAGTGAAGATGAAGATGAAATCGAAAGAACAAAAATGGAAGATGATTGGTAATTAGCAAAATAAAAACAGAATAAAATGTTTGGAGAGACGCAAGGACATGACAGCAAGTATGCAAAGTGCAGAAGATATTGGAACAAGATGAGAATAATAAAACCGATAAAATGCAATCAACTAAGAAATTAGAAGGGTTAAAGAAAAGGCATTTTTAAAGAAAACACAGAACTGCAGGCAATAAATTAAAATTAGTCGTTAAAGCGAAAATGACCGTCAGTAACAGTAGGTTTTCCTAGTAAATCGAACTCAAACTTTTGTAAGGGAGAAAATGTTAAAACTATTCCAAGAAACAATCACAGATACCACTAAAATGAAGAACAAAGTGTTGAAATCTACACTTTAAAAACATTAAAACAACGGGTACAAGATACATAATCAAACAAAACAAACTCATGGAAAACGGACGCAAAAATGATTTGAAAATTGCGATGGCGCACTAATGAACGGAAATATGAAATATAAATATGAGACTAAAATAAGGAGAAAATTGAGCAAAGAAAAGTTACTATAGAAAATGTTTAAAACTAGTGCCAGTAAAATTTGAAGATATAGTCTATAATCAGTTTTTTCAATGTAAATTGTTCAGGCAATGAAAAGTATAAAAAATATTAATTATTAATTATTAATTATGCTTATAAACATAGTTATTATTATTATACCATAATTATGCAAATAAACATACAGTTGCAAAATATATTCAAACAATCAACAATTTGATTGCACAAAGTAAAACAAAGCAAAGAACATCGAAGCAGTTTTAAAGCTCAGAACGAACACCAAATAAATGTATGAATGCCTGAAAACAACTGAAATGAAACTATTGTTCTCTATTTCTAGCAATTTTTAAAAACACGCTGGAAACGGAATGTTTAAAAATAAAATAAAAAAAATAGCGCACACAACCAGCCAACCAATCAAACCATGAAACAACTTGTTTCTCAAAGAAAAGTAAACTCCAATTAGAAAGGAAATACCTGAAAGCATTGGAAAAATGATAAAGCATAAATAATTAAATAAAAATACTAATGGAAGTTTTCCAAAACTCAAAATCCACAAAAATTTATCACGAAAATTTTGAAAAAATAGCAATTACTATAACACTAAAGAAACCAATTAAATAGGAAGTTCAAATAAAGAAAATAATTGAGATAAACACATACATTTGAAGAAACGTCTTTACGCAGTGGAAGTCATCAAAAATGTCGAGAAAAAAGTTAATAATGACATACAACGCAAATAAGCAAAAAAAATATTGCAACCAAAATTTTGACGAAATTAAACAAATTGAAAAGCGCATATTAAATGAAAATATTCTTGGAGGAAATTACAACGAAACGCTAAAGAAAAAAGAAGATAAGTTTGGATAAAAGTGAGCAAACAAACAAGAAACGGGCTAATAGAAAAATGTTATCAAATAAAAAGTGCACACATTGACAGCACCATGAAAGGCATTCAGTTTTTCCAAAAAAGTGATGAAGAATAAAACGAACTCATTGAAAATTGATAAAAAATGATCAACTTAAAACAAAAAAGTGATATCGCAAGTGAAGAAAAAAAAGTATATTGAGCGTCAGAAACAATGGAAAGCACTTGCAGAAGCGCACAAAACTATTCTAGCGGAAAAACACAAAATGAAAATTTAAATGAAAACACATAGAACCGATGCAAAGTCAAGCAAACCGAAAATAATTTCTTAGGCACATGTTGAGAAAATTAAACAAATTATAAAACATTCGGGCAGTTTAAAGCTTTAAAAGCTCAGAACCGACGCAATACAAATGCTACCAAGCTTGACCAAAATTTAAATGATATGCTGAAGAAAAAGATACTAAAATACGACAAAATTTGGCAAATAATCTGGCAAGTGAATGATATAAAGACGACATCAAGTAAAGGCTCATATGTTTGGCTTAACATGAAAGACTTTCGTGTGTGTCAGTCGCAGTGTGTGTCTGTCTTACTAATAGGGGACAACACAGCGCAACCAAAAAAGCAAAAAATTGTTGCAAGCAAAATAAGTAAAACCCAATGAGGGCTGGAAGCAAAGGAATGAAAGTGTGAAACTGCAAGAAAAGGAATTCTATCTTAAACAATAGAAAATGAAAATATAAATGAAAACATATGGTGAAATAAAACGATTGATGTAGTTAACCCGTTAAGTTCAACACTCGAAATCGATGAGAGGTAAATCCAAACCGAGATGAACAAAATTGCAATGCAACACTGAAAAACATATTTAATTTAAACTAAAATAAAGTTTAGCTAATAAACCGTAAAAAATTTCAGTTTCCACAAAAATAACAGAAAAAATAGAAAAAAAATCAAACCCATGAAAAAAGTAAACACAAGCTTCAACTAAAATACCAGTAGCGTCACTCAGCTCGACCAAAGAGGCAAAAAGTGCTTGCAAGCAAAATAAAAGAAACGGAAATTAATGAGACCTGAAACAAAGTAAAGAAAGTGAAAAACCGCAAAAAGCGTTACAGCAGAAAATCTATATTGACAAAGACAAAATGAAAATATAAATTAACACACAATAAAATCAAATCAAATAGAAAATGAATTGCATGCCAAATACCAAGAAAATTAAAGAAATTACATAGCTTTGATACAGTTTATGGCCTTTAGGGTTTTCTAAGCTAAGAAACACCGCAAAAATGCAAACATGCTTGAAAAAAATCAATAGACCGCCAAAAAAAAAAAAAAAATTAATTCAAAATTGAGCAGATATACAAACGACTAATTGACATAACTAAAAACATTTTGTGTTCCAGAAAAAAGTTCAAAAAGATTAGGAAAGGAACCAAACCAACCAGTTAAAAACAACAAAGATTCAACAAGCTAAAATAAATACTAATAGAGGCTCACAGGGCGAACATAAAGCGAAGAACTTTTGAGAATAAATAATGCAAAAAACTGTAAAATACAACGCAGAAAGTGTGAAATCAGGCAAATAAAATATCAAAATACTAGAAGCGGCGAAAATAGTAAAAATAGAGCAAAACCAACAAAAGATATAGATTTTAGAATAATTTGTTGTAAACTCTAGTACGAGGACTGCTTGATGCCACTGCCATCACTAAATTCTAGAAAGCTTCTACTTTTATATTTCTTTTAGCCACATTGAGTTTAATCAGCAAAGATACTTGCTTCTTATAAAGTTTCAAAAATAGCAAATCAAATATCGCAAGTGATTATCTTATCTATGTCCTTGTTCGGTTTTAGACATTCTATCTAATCATCAAAATTCCAAATGTAAACTATGGATCATCGCATTTACTTTTAAAACAAATGAATCAGCAAACCAATCCCAAAAATCCGTCAGAACTTTACCTCAACTCTCCACTTCGGAAGATCTTCTTATTAAACTCCTGCAGCCAGAAAACGTCGCAATTGCACTCCCATGGATTGTGGCTGAGTTCGATGTGCTCCATGTTCCTAAACAGGTGGGCATAGGTGGAGTTCAAGGAAGTGAGGCCATTTCTGGCCAAAATCAGTTTCTTCGGATGAATATTGACGGTTTTCGATGCCAATCCGAAAGCGTAATCGGTGAAGTTGCGCACATTGGGACAGTCTGTAATAATGAGCTTTTCCAGAGCCACCAAGTTGTAGAAGGCGTAATGATGGATGTTTTCCAGGCTGGGCATCCGACTGAGTCTCAACACCTTCATGGAACTATATGTCAAATAGGCTGGCGACACGAAGCTGAGATTGTTTCCGGAAAAGTCCAAATACTCCAAGGAGTTGGGCAGGGCCGGAATGTAATTGAAACTGTTATCCTGCAGCTCCAAGTGCTTCAGTAAAGTATAAACCCCGAAAAAGTTGGGATGGAAATCGCTGAGATTGACGCTATTTAAGTGCAAGTGGCTAATATTGGCTGACGCCCCTAAATTCCGGTTGAAAACTTCCTCAGATTGACCAAGAAACACCCCTAAGGGATTGTAGCTGAGGTCCAAGAACTTCAGCAAGGACAAAGGAGCCAATAGTCCACCAGGTAGTTGCTGGAAAGTATTGTAGCTCAAATCCAAATAAACCAAACTTTTTAATGGTAGAAACACATCCGCATCCAGAGTGGTCAATTGATTGCGGCTTAAATCCAGCCAAACCAGTTCCGTGAGATTGCGGAAAAAATCCGCTTTCATTTCAGTGATATCATTGTAGGCCAAGATCAGTTTTCTCAATGAGCTTTTACTGGTTGAATCCAAGGCTTGGATTTGGTTCATTGTCAGATCTAGGATCGTCAAGTCGCTGGGCAGGAGGGAAAAGTCGGGAAAATTCACATAGCCCATACCATTGCAATTGGCCAGTGACGATGGCAGGTTGGTGTCTTCATTGGTGAATTTTTTGCACAGGCACTTGTTTTCGAAAGTGTCACTCGAACACATCGCATCCAGACATATTGTGGATGGTACACTACACACTGCAAACACTAGGAGTTTTAGATACATGCTTGATTTAGGTAGAAGATCGTCTGGGTGTGGAAAAACTGTATTTACCGATCCGCACTTGTCCTTATCAGTTAGTCGGTATTACTGGGAAAGTATAATTGATAAGATATTGAGCAAATAACGTTTATTTGTTTGTTTCATTGACTGAATATTTGCAGCTCCTCTATACCTACGCATAGATTGATATTCTCGCCAGTTCATTAAAATTCATGTTCCATATACAAGGTGGATAAACTCAAGGTTTTTCGCTCGATTTTTGCTACCGCTGCCGGATGTTTCGCTTGTATCTACGACGAACATCCTCAAAAGTGTTCCCCTGGCACCCGACAGTGGCTGCTTCCAATAGAGACCAGCACGGTTTTCTAATGATGCCTGTTTGGCAGCTGCAGCTTCATAAATGTTTATCTCCAAAGCTAAGAGAGCTGGAGCTTTGCCTGTTACCCTACTGGAAAGAGCACGCTCTTCTCTATGTGTGGCAAAGGTTTCATTAAAACCCCGCCCTTAACTGAGTTGAGGTAAATTTTCCAAAACTTGCGCAAATTTTCTAAAAAACCAAAAGAGCCAAAAAGGCGCACGTTGTCTAATTCATAGACCCTACTATTCTCTTTAATTTGTGAGAATTTAATTAAATTTAGGTATTTTATTGAGTTGAACGACTTTTCAATAACTTCAAATTTGCCATTTTACAGTTTAAGGCTTAAAAGGTAGAATTTCTATTTTGGTCTTCAACCTGGTACGCCACTGGAAAAAGCACCTTCTTTGCAACAAATCACAAAAGTGTTCTTGGAAACTCAGCTTCTGTTGACTTGGCGAATTTTAAAAAATTGGCTTGCAAAGCTGCCTTTTATTAACCACTTTGTTGCAGGTTCAACTCTAGTAATTTTTTTCCCTTAAACTAAGCGAGATAAAGAAGTGCCGGTTATTTCACTGAAAAGAGCGCACTTTTTTCTATTTCCGGCGGAAAAGGTTTAGGTAACATTTCGCGTTCTGATAAATTGGGGCGACGTTTGGAAAACTTGCATGCAAAACGCCTACCAATAGCACACTGTTTCGCCGGGTATATTTCAAAAAACGTTATCTCCCAGGCGAAGTGAGCTGGAGAAATTCTAGTTACGCCACTGGATAGAGCATATCTTTCTTTATTTATAACGAATGTTTCATTAAAATGGCACTTTCTGCAGAACTGAGACGAATTTTTAAAACCCCGTTTACAAAACTGCCTAGTAATGGCCAATGTTCGACAGGTTCAAGTTATCTAATATTTTTCTCCTAAATGGGGCGAGTTAGAGAGATTCTTGATATTGGACTGGAGAGAACGTACATTTGTCACTATAAAAGGAATGAAGGATTTGAACTCCCACTAAGCTTTAATATAAAACAATTTTTTTAAATTGGGTTGCAAATCTGGTTTCTAATGGCCGTTGCTCAGTTTTATATTTTTTTGCTCAAAACTAAAAGGGTTGAAAATTCCTGTTACGTTTCTGATAAGAGTGCAATTTGTGCTGTACCTTTTTGCTGAAAAAATAACGATAGTTCGACGTAAAAATCCTAATTTTTACGGCAAAACTCTTTTTTTTTTAGTTATCAGAAAGTTTTGTAAATTGGTTACCACATTGTTTGACAAATTCAACTTAGCAATTTTTCTCTCCTAAACTAAGGGGGCTAAGGTGCCTATAACCCTACTTAAGAGCGCATACTTTTGTCTAAATATCAGTAAAAGCGCCTTTAGAGTCACAGTGTACTTTGAGTTAAGGGAAATTTAAAAAACCATCTTACAATGCATGCTTTTAACCACTTTTGACCACTGTTGGTTCAATTTATTTAATTTTATTCCAAACTTATGCGATTTTCCAAAGTGCCTGATGCGCCACTGGAAAAGTCATAGCTTTCGCTACAAATGGCCGGAAAACTCAAATTGCGTGAATTTGAATTGAGTTAGAGTGAATATGCCTTCTAATACTCATTGAGCGGTCAAATTCAAAAAAATATTTCTTAAACTTTACGAGGTACAAAAATTATATGCTGGAAAGAGAATACAATTTTGCAAAGGTTTATCTAAAATCACCCCATTTCTTAGGAAAAAGCGAATTTTTACAAGCAAGCATTCAAATTTACGTATTGATGCCCAGTGTTCAAGGGCCTCAATTTAATAATATTTTATCTGCTATGTCGAATAAACTAGAAACAAATGTGGGCGCTCCTGAAAAGAGCATGTTCTTTGTTCTAAAAATACTAATTATTTTTGGAGATTCACAGTTTCGTTTCAGTGGGGAAAATTTTTTGAGAATTGGCAAGCAAACCCGCCGACTAAAGGTATTTTTTGGTAGGCGAAATTTCGCCTGAAAGGCCTGTTATTTTCCTCAAAATAGCATACTCTTGTTTATATACCAAAAATTTTCCTTCGAAATTGCACCTTTTCTGGAATCAAGCCGAATTTCAAAACTACCGTGCAAAACTGCCTTCTAATAGCTAAGTCAAATGAGCCTGAAAGGTAGTTGGACACAGACGCAAAATCTCTCCAAAAAATCTAATTTTTGTGTAAATTCCTGTCTTTCTTGAATTGACACAAAGTTTTGAAAATTGACTTCCAAATTTGCCTTCTACTGGCCCCTATTTGGAAAATTCAACGTAACTATTTTTTGCTTCTAAACTTGAGGAACTCAGGGGATTCCTATTGTCGTTTTGAAGAGAGCATACTTTTTACTATGTGCTAGGAAGTGGGGCTTCAAAATCATCGTGTTCTTTGAGTTAAAATAATTTTTTTAAATGGGATTACAAACCTGGCTTTCAACCATTTTTGGAGTGCAAGGGGTAATGAAACGCATGTTATAGCCACTCCTACCCAAAAGTCAACCTCGTCCTCTGTCCAGTAAGGACTTGGTCCACCCTGTTCCCACAAACGAGGCGCTGACGACCGAGTAAACGGCGGGATAACCATAAAAACAACGCGGAGTAAATGCCGTTGTTAAGATTCCTACACATGAAAAGAATAGCTTCCAACCCGCACTGGCCAGCGTGGTAGCGGAAATGCCCCCCAAAGTAACAGATGAGTAACGAACAAAGAAAACGGCTCTCAGTCTCCGGCAGCCTGCAGACCTTTGTTTACGGCAGCGGATAAAAGGAAAGGCAGGCAGAGGGTGCGAAGAATCCCCGGAGTATCCTAGGCTGCCACCGAGGACGAATACGGCAAAAGAAAGGAAAAAATACAAGACAGTTCTTACTGAAGACACACAATGCAAGGAATTTGTCGTCAGATGAAAAGTTGGTAGAAATTGAGAAAGAACTGAAGAAAATCAAATGGGTTATTGTCGGACTGAGCGAGGTAAGAAGAACAGCTAGGAAAATGTGTTTCACTATGTTGGCGAGACGGAGACAAGAAGAAGCGGTGTCGGTTTTATCATCTATAAAAAGATCGTCAAGGATGTTGTTCAGATCACCAGCGTTAGCGTAAGAGTTATTTATCTGATAATGAAACTCAACAGAAGGTATACCTTGAAAATCATGGTCTATGCTCCTACCAGTACGCATAGTGAAGAGGGAATGGAGGAGTTTTACGACGACGTAATTAAAGCGTATAAAGAGACACCATCAAAATTCAACATTCTGATGGGAGATTTCAATGCGAAACTGGCACAACGATACGAAGGTCACGAAGCAGCCTTGGGACTGCATGGCTTCGGCGAGAGAAATGAAAGAGGCAGAATGCTCTTGGAATTTGTAGGCAACATGTAGGCAATGAACTCCTTTTTCAAGAAGTTCCCCTAAAGAAAATGGACATGGTTGAGCCCCGACGGTGCAACCAGAAACGAGATTGGCATCAGGGACATTTCTGTCCTCAACAGCTTTTCAGTGGGAAGTGACCACAGGCTAGTAACAACCAAGGTGTGCATAAACATAAAGAATGAGGGGCGCAAAATATTGTCCAAAACTACCAACACAAAATGGACCGAGATACGAGATAGGGACGCATACGTAGGAACAGATTAGGAGAGACCTGCTGGATGGAGACATAACAGGCGAACACGATATAAATAGAATGAACGGAAATTTAATCCATGCACCAAAGAACGCCCAAGAACAACACTGCAACAAGAGAAGGACACGCCCAGAAAAGCTCAGCATAGAAACTAAAAATCTAATAAAAAGACGCCGACAAATAAGAGCAGAACAGAACATAAATCCGAACAAATTAAGAGACCTCAACAAAATTATTTCCTCAGCAATCAGAAAAGGCCTACGACAAAACAACCCCAGGGAAATACAGGCAGTGATTGAAACAAATAAGAGTCTGAAGATACTAAGGAAAAAGCTCCCCAGCCCAGGCTCAAAGAATATAACAATGTTGAGCTAAGAATATAACAAAGAGCAGAGCCGCTACGAATAAAGAAGAAATACTACGGATTCTGGAAGAGTTCTATGGGGAGCTCTATAGACGCCCTGGACACCGCGTTATAACCATTCCATTTGTGCAAAACGATAGCTCCGAAGACATTCCAGATATAACAACATCTGAGATTAATAATTCTCTACGACAAATGACGGACAACAGAGCACTAGGAGTCGACGGAGTAATGATAGAGGCCATTATGGCAGGCGGAAGATGTGTCCTACAGGCTCTTAGCAGACTATTCACAGAATGCCTGCTTAGTTTTCTAATTTAAGTTAATTTAATAAGTTCTTTAATTTTTTAACCGCTATTTTTTAAGTTGACACACATTCTTGAATTGTAGCTGGTAAGCCTGACTTCTAAAGACAGGAATGTTCAATTTCAAGTTTTCTCCTAAACTAGACGAGCTAGCGTGGTGCCTGTTATCGCACCGAAAAGTTTATTTTCTTTAAATATCAGGATTTATTGTCACAAAAGCACTTGTCTTTGAAACAAGACATTTTTTACATTGTATTTAAAATTTGCCTGCTAGTCGTCTCTGATCAGCAGGTACAATTTCAAAATATTTTATCTTCAAAGTTAGATGAGCTGAAAAGAAGTTGATTCGCCACTGGAAGGAGGATGCTTTTCTCCAAAAAATCAAGTTTTTCTGCAAAAATTCCTGCCCTTTTTGAGTTGACACAAAGTATTGAAAATTGGCTTGCAAATTTGCCTTCTACTGGCCCCTATTTGGAAAATTCAAATAGCATTGCAAAACGAGATGCAAAGAATCTATTTATCCCTTTGAAAGGAGAACACTTTGCTCTTTTCTTTGCAAAGGTTTTACCAAAAATCGCGCTTTACATTGAGGAAAGGCGAATTTTTACCATACAAAGTGGCCTCCTATTGGCCAGTGTATAGCAGCCGCAATAAAAAATATTTTTTTTACGATGCCAAACAAATTTAGAATACCTGTGGACGCTCCTGGAATGAGCACGTTTTTGTCTAAAAATCAAATTTTCCGGGGGAGAATCGCAGTTAGTTTTGTTTCAGTAAAGACAACTTTTTGAAAATTGGCTTGCAAATCTGTCTTCGAATAACTACTGTTGAGCACTTTAGCAATTTATCACTAATTTATTTGCCAAAACCAAATAAGTTAGAAAAGGTGCGCCACTGGAGTGACATATTTTGCTTTAAAAAATACTCATTTTGATGGAAAAGGCGGGTTTCTTCTGAGTCCAAGTGCCTTGGAAATGGAGTCGTCAAAAGACCACTATTTTGCCCACTAGTTTGACTTCAGGAATTTGTTTCTCCTAACCTAGGCTACCTAGAGAGATTCCTGTTCACCCACTGGAAATCCCATACTTTTGTGTATATTGCAGGAGTTTTTCGTTAAAAGCCCACTTTTATTTGAACCACGACGAATTTTCAAAAACAGTATCTCAAATATCCTTACTGTTCAGCGTAAGATCAATTTCAAAATATTTTAATCTACAATGTCGAACTAGCTAGAGACATAGTTAGGACGCCACTGAAAATACCGAGTTTTCTTCTAAAAACACAAAGGTTTTTCTTGTGATCCCATTTGATTTATTTTTCACCGTTTCAACTGTGTTATTTGCATTTTTACTGTTTTTTCACTTTCTTTCCCTTCTTACTCGCTACTGGTCTTCCTTTTCTACGGCACAGCCTACCCAGAAGGGACTTGAGAGCAAAAACAGCTGCAAATAATCCGAAAAATGCAATACCGAGCACATCCAGCATAAAATATTTGTACCAAGGCAGCCTAACTCCAGCCACCCTTAAATGAGGCGCTCCTTTATGCCGAATAACGTACTCAATCCAGTAGACCGCCGTGTCCATGGGTTTTTGTGAGCGATCGTGGAAAATCTTCGATTTTTCCTGAACATTCTTCCGATACTTGGGATTATTCAACAATTCCAGGATCAGTTTCTCCAGCAGTTCTTCGCTGAAGTTTGGATCATTGTAGTGCAACTTTAACCCGTAGCCGTTGTAAACTGCTCGATCCGCATTGGATGATTGATCTCCAAACACTGGAAGTGCCAGAATTGGGACACCATGGTAGACAGTTTCCGTGGTACTCAGAAGTCCTCCATGCGTTATGAAGAGCTTTATATTGGGGTGAGCTGAAAAGGTGTAAATTAGACAAATTTGAAAACCCTACTGATTGCAAATCGCCCAGGAGTTCTGTTCTTACCCAAAATGTCCTGCTGTGGCAACCAGCTGCGAATCATCACATTTGCAGGTCTCCCCGGTAAATCCTCCTCAAACTTCCACAGAACCTTCATTTTCAATTTCCCCAGAACATTCAGCAGAATTTGCCTCCTCTCTGGTGGTATGTCCTTGCTTTTCAAGTTGGAGCCCATGCTGAAGTAGATGGCGCCATCAGTGGCGCTATCCAGGAATGTCTGGATATCATCCGGGAGCTTCTTCGGAGGATCGACAAAGAAGCCTCCAATTTCCACCATATTGGGAACAGTTGGCAGCGCTGGATAGAGACTGGTGTGCGAATTCAACAGCACCAAAGACACGTTGGTGTAGATGTCGTACAGGGGCGGCGAGTTAGGGAAGGCTTGATGCATGATCTTCTCATTGGCAGGCAAGGTGATGAATTGAGTAACCAGATATTCCAGCAAATAGGCAACCATGTTAGTGGCCCTGTTCCAGATGGATAAATCTCTGGAAAAGTCCCCGCTCAGCAGATGGGGCACGTATGAGACCGGCTGCGGATTGCCAACGGTTGGATTCACCCAAGGGTTCGGCCCCATACTGCTCAGAACGATCAACGGACAGCTGTAGATGTGGGCAAACACCTTCAAAGCGTCGTTCCAGAATTGTTCCACAATAACAGCGTCGAATTGCTGGTTCGAAGCCAGCAGTTGTCTGACTTTCGGATGGTGGAACGTATCATTAGTATCGCGAATAGTCAAGTAGGACATGTGATACATCACTTGCAAGATTCCTTGGTTTTGGAATTCGAATAAATTCATTTTGAAGACCATTTCTGAAAAAAGAATAGAATCGAAAAGTGGATGGTTACTAGGAAAGGTCTGAAAAAGTTGACCCAATCATTTGCTTTTTTTGGACATCCAATGGGAATGGAGGATCCAAAGAGAACCCACTTTCTTAGCCAAGTTAGTATTTCAAGGCTATAAAAATTTAAACTTTTGCCCCTGAAAACTAAATTATCTGAGAAAGAGATAGGTGGTCAGCCTTCTTTAAGAAATACTGTCTGCAGCATCTTCACAAGCAGGAAATGTTTGCCTTTTGGAGATTTTCTGAATCTAGAGAAAATGGGCTGCAAGAGGCCCAATTTTGTTTGAGCTATTTTGATCATTTTAGGGCATATTTTGCTAATTATTTTTTGTTTCTTAAGAAATGAGTTTTTAATTTATTTTAAAAACTTTAACTTAAGCTTCAAATTTGTTCATTTTAAGTTTGTTTTAGCTTTGATGGTTTCTCCAATGTACTCAGTTGAACCAACTTCTACAATTCCATATTAAAATCGTCCTCTGGTTTCGGCCCAAAAATGCCTCAAGAAATCAATATCCTCTTCTTCTGCAGTTCTGAGGCTGGCTTTGCACCGTTTCAGGCTTCTTAACTTTCAAAAACACTTTATACTTCTGAAACGGGTTAACATAAGGAAATTACCACAAAATCCTAATCTCAAAGAGCTACAAGCAAAAATTCCAACATTTTGTAGCCCTTACGGTTTAAAAGTCCTTGGATCCCAGAAACGGACAGAAATATCTTGGTACTAGTTACGAACTTGTCAATAGGGACATGAGGTTTTACTAGAAATTCCTAACCTCCAAAAAATAGAAGCTGAATAACTTGAACGCCTCACAAACGATCGGAAACAATCAATAAAGCATAAAAACTATTTAGAAACGCGCATCTAGAAAAACCTTTGCCCTATTAGGGATCAAACAGCAGCTCTAACCTCCAAACAGATTAAAGAAAAATTTGCTGATTTTTAGACGATTTTCATTTCCATTTGGTAAACGGTTAATTGTATCTTAATAACCGTTAAGACTGTATGTAGTATATCTGTCACTAAATAGAATGTTTCGGGAATTATAACCTTTAATAAAATAGAACAAATATATAGGATTTTTTCGCAACTTCCTAACCTCTAAAGAAAAATAGAACAATGAAAAACATCTTATAGCTCGAAATCGGTGGAAAACGTATACGAATACAAAAGACTATTTTGATAATGCGTTTCTAGAGGTCTGATCTTTTGGCCACAAGACTCAAAATACCTCTTGCAATCTCAAAAAAACATACAAAATTTAACTCTTCTACTGTTCCATTTTCTAATGTTTCGGCATTAGGCTGTGCTTTTAAAACAAAGTCATGCTCTCAGTTTCAGTAAAACGAAGTCAAATAAACCACACATTCACATGATTGCTTTGCACAAAAAATTTTCCCTAAAAAAAAGAATTTGTAAGTTTTCGAAATTATCCCCAAAGCTCTGAAAATTCGAAAAATTTAGATTATTTACAATGCGGTAAATTTTGTTAGGCAACGATGTGAAGCATCCAATATCGGCCCGAACTGGGGATTTTAGGAGTGAATTTATAACGTAAGTGAATAACTTATATAAAACTTAATAACTTCCTGATTTGCCGATCTAATTGTATTTTTTTTCAGTACAAAAACATATTTTTGTGTTCAATAAGACACTTTACATTGAACCGAATTTGTTGCAACTTGTACACCAGAAAAAGCCTTAAAAACCGACAAATTTCAAGGAAAATGGTGAAGGATCACCGACACGTTGTATAGCAAGTATCGGCGCATTCATAATACTGCAAAGGATGATTTTCCTTTTATTTAATTTTCATTTTGTTTTCGAAGTTTGATTGGGGCTCATTTCATTAGATTACGCATTTTAAACAGATAAATTCATACTCATATGCAGTAATGGATAAACTGATAACAATAATCCAGCAAACCGAAGTACAAATTTCTCAGTATTTTCAATAGAAAGGTGGTTTTAAAAAATGTATTCAAAGCCAAATAATCGAAAAAAATTGCGGAAATCAATAACGCAAATGAGATAGTTTGCGTCTAATAGAGCCAACCTTGCTCTATTCGGAAGTGCAAAAAAGCGTAAACTTTGAACCATGATCATCAAGAATTAGGCACGTTTTTGCTTGAAATTGCGTTTTTTTCAATATCAGACCCAAAATCGAGTTGTATAATTGCAAAAATTAGCAACCGCTACCTCGAGTCAATTTTGATTGAGCAATTCTTGAAAAATTACTTGAGAAAAGTGATGGGTGCAAAGTGCAAGGATCAAATATTCGGCAAAAATTGTGGAAATTAACAAAGCAAATGAGAATTGATGCACTAAATCGAGCCAGAATTGCTCTATGTAACAGTGCAAGCAGCAAACACTACGTCCTCCCAGTTTTGGGGAAACAAAATAAAAATCTTGTAGAAGTGCGAAAAGCGCCGTTGTTGCTTGGCGCATCTTTGAAGCATCAATTTAAAATAAGCATCAAAACTTCAACACGTGTTTGGTTCAAATAGCAGTTTTTTTGGTTTCATGCTTAACATTGCGGCATATGTTTGTGAAAACAGCGACTCGTTAGCTCCATTGAGTGCCGAGGAACGATTTCTTAAAAAATTACTTCTACTTTTACTTTAATTAAGTGGTGGACACAAACAAGCTTTAAATTAAAAAAATTCTCAGAAATTGGAAAAATTAGCTTCAGCAATGCTAATTGCTGCAGTTCATATAGCAAATATTGTACGCTGCACTACAGCAAAGCAAAACTCTCTATCGTCTTGGATCTCTCTGGAGGACTCTGATGGAGCAAACATTGCGCGTTCCACTGCTACAAATCAAAACTTTTTGAGAGCTCTCCATATTTTGCAAGAATTTTATGAAAAATTAATTTCATAAAGTGGCAGACGCAAATGAAACTTTTTCAGTCTCGAATTCCAAAACAGATTTTTAAAACTGCGCAAATAGATTTTTAAAATGCCAATTGGTGCTTTTTATGGAGTAAATCTTGCATTTTTCACTGCTGAAAAACAAAACCTTTTTGGCAACTCTCTATATTTTGTATGCTATTTTTGAAAAATAACTCTCCAATTGCAAAAATTATTAAAAGCTGTAGAAGTTGATTATTAAATTGCCAATTTCTGTACCTGATGGAACACATGTTGCACTTTCTACTGCTGCAAAGCAAGACGTTTTAGCAACTTTGGCTTTTTTGCAAGGAATTTTTCAAAAATTACTTCCATAAAACAGCACACGCAGATAGCAGTGCAGTATCTCCAATTCCAAAATTATTGAAATTTGCGGAAATTGATTATTAAAATAATAATTTTTGCACCCTATGGAGGAAATGTTGCACTTTCTACTGCTGCAAAGCAAAACGTTTTAGCAGCTTTGCCTTTTTTGCAAGGAATTTTTGAATAATGAATTCTATAAAACAGGCACAAATAGCATTGCCGTGACTCCAATTCCAAAAAATCTTGAAAACTGCGGAAATTGATAATGATAATAATAATTTCTGCAGCTGATTGAGCAAATGTTGCAATTTCCACTACTGCGAAACAAAACCTTTTAGCGACTTCGGCTTTTTTACAAGGAATTTTTCAAAAGTTACTTTCTAAAAATAGCAGGCGCAAATATTACTTTTTGAGTCCCCAATTCTAAAAATTATTACAAATTGCGATAATTCATTGCAAAAATGCTACTTTTTGAGACTGATGGAGCAAACGTTGCCCGTACCACTGCTGCAAATCAAAACTTTTTGAGAGCTCTTCATATTTTGCAAGAATTTTTCCAAAAATTTGTTTTATAAAGTGGCAGACGCAAATGGCACTTTTTGAGCCTCAAATTCCAAAACTGATTTAAAACTGCGCAAATTCATTAGTGAAATGCCAACTGCTGCGCTTTATGGAGCAAATCTTGTACTTTCTACTGCTGAAAATTTTGGCAACTCTAGGTATTTTGTAAAGCACTTTTGAAAAATAATTTTGATTGAGTGGCAAGTGCAAGAAGCACATTTGAGTTTGCAATTGCTAAAATTATTGGAAGCTGCAGAGGTTGATTATTAAATGGCCAATTTATTCATCTGACGGAGCAATTGTTGCACTTTCTACTGCTGGAAAGCAAAATGTTTTAGCAACTTTGCCTTTTTTGTGCGGAATTTATGAAAAATTACTTCCATAAAATGACAGACGCTAGTAGCACTGTTGTGTTTCCAATTCCAAACATTATTGAAAATTGCGAAAATAGGTTATGAAAATAATAACTGCTGCACCTGATTGAGCAAATGTTGCAGTTTCCACGGCTGTGAAACTAAACCTTTTAGCGACTTTGGCTATTTTGAAAGGAATTTTTCAAAAACGACTTTCTTAAAATGGCAGGCACAAATATTACTTTTTGAGACTCCAATTCCAAATATTCTTGAAAACTGCGGAAATTGATAATTGAAATGTCTGCACACTATTACAGAACATATGGTATCCACTGCTGCAATGCAACACTTTTTAGCAAATCTGGATTTCTTGCAAGGAATTTTCGAAAAATTACTTTCATAAAGTGGCAGGCGCAAATTGCACTTTTTGAGTCGGACTTTCCAAAAATTATTTAAACCTGGGATAACTGATAACATTTTCAAGATCAGCGGTTAGTGTAACTTCCGGTAATACTGGAAGAATGCAAAGTAAGCAAGTTGATAATTTTTGGGGGAATTTTACCTAGCATCAAGAGTTAAAATTCGAAGGAAAATCGAGTAAAAGCCTTATGAGAATGAGGCGAGCAAAGAAGTACTCATAAATTATGGCTTGGATCGAATGTGAATCTGCCATTCAAGCAGCATTTACACAAAATGCAAGCTCAAACGGCTGAAAATTCTATAAAAATCGAATAAAACGATTTAGTCCATTAATTCAGTAGATAGAAAAAAGTCTAAGCCGTCGCAATTTGTTTATATTTGACTGTTTTGTTTACGCCGATCATTCAAACATTTTTGAATCTTTTGCCGTGCGAACAGGGACTTTCTACAAAATAGTAAACAATAGACGAACTGAAATCGCACTGCAATGAATCATCATCCAAAGGGCCATGAAGCAAATCATATCATCACCCTGCTTCGGTAGCTCGGTTCCTTTGAAAAACCTGCCTGAATATTCAGTTTATTCAGATATTGGACGAAATCGGTCGCCAGTCTTTGTGTGATCGCGATCTTAGATGGAAAATGTTGGATCATTGTGGCCCTTTAGGCAAATGGGATATTTTATTCTGCCTGTAGGATTAACTTTTTTAATTCGGAATGTATTTTCATTGTGTGTTCAAGTGTGGTGTGAACTGAAAATGCGGATTAATAGGAGAAAGTTGAGTTAGAGGAGAGAGGAAGGGAGGAGAAAATGAGGGCAGGAAATGGAGGATGGGGCGCCAGCTTGAAGAAAACTGGTAAGAATTATTTATAATCAATGAGTTTCTGGGCTTGGGTGCTTTTAGTTTTTCGAAATGCAACTGAACTTTGATGCCTATGAGACCTTGCGCATTTTTGATTAGCTGCTTTTACTTAACGCATTTTCTTCTTTCTTTCTAGGTGGCACGATGCAGCTTTCGGTAAGTTTGGCATTACTTTGCCCCTGGTTGCTGTGTAGTTTAGTAGTGATTTTTTAGTCCTCTATTGTTGAATTGTATTTCATAATATTGTGGCATTTAATATTTATGCGACGAGGAACGACGAGGGAGTTTCTGGATTCTGGATCGGGTTTTTCAAATTTTTTATTTTGTTTTGTAAAACTGGTTTAGAGTCACACATTTCACGTTAACTCGACGTTTTCCATGGTAGGCTGTTTTCAAATTTCAAGTTTTACAATCTAAGTATAAAATCAGTCGCCTTCTACTGAAGTACACTTTGTATCGTCGTGTAAGGTATTTTGCCATTAATGATTGGTGTTTTTCTGCTGAGAATCATTCGCTAAATTGAACGGTTTTAGAATTCTCAATAGGGATTGCACCAACCTTAACTTTTTTCGCTCAGTTTTTCGACATTAAATGATGAGGTTTTCCCGTTTTCCACAGAAGGCTGTTTTAATACGAAAAGTCCAGTGTTCTGCTGCAAACCCAACTATAATTATCTTCTTAGCAAATAATCAATTGTTAGTGTTTTTCTACTGTAAATTTCAGTTTTGACTGTTTTAAAGGCTAGTAATACTCCAGAATCCAGACTAAAGTGCCTAAAGGTATGTGAATATTTTTTATAAATTTGTGATGGTCTAGCGAACATAAGAAGATGCAAGCGGTTCTGGCCTACAAATCAAGTTTATAAGAAATTTAGAATGTCACTGTTTTTCTAAATTTTTTTCGGGATTTTAGCGGCCGGGATCCGCACAGCGCTTCATTTTGTAGAATTAGATGACAACCAGGGTTGTTTTTGATTGGTCTTCGGAAATTTAACAAATAATAAAAAAGTACATACAAAACTGCTAAACTAACTTAAATAAATAAACAAACCAAGACAATGATAAGTCTCAATCTGAAATATCTGTACGGCCGTAGAGTGTATTTTGCTATCTATAAACCAAAACGAGATAACGTTTTTAAATGCTCCTAAAATCTTTAATTCAGTTATGGTTATAATCATTTAAACAAACAGTCGACTGCAATATCACTCCATGAATTGATGATTTCAAGTGTTTTGCTAATAGAAACTTTAATCAACGTTTTCGGTTGCAACTTGTGTATTTATAAACTATAATAATATAAATCTGCAACCTTGAAACTTGCGGTAAATTTTGCAAATACGATGAATGAATAGAAACAAAAGGGGATTAGAGAAAACGTGGCTCAATGTTTTCTCCATTATTTGGCATAGAAATTGAACAATCACCATTCCTTACCCGGAAGATAAAATCCAAAGAATCAAGCAGCAAATTCGGAAGCATTTGGTGTTTAGCCCCGTTAGTGTGTGAGGTTCTTCTACTGCTTTTGCGTCAGATTTATGTTTTTTTATCAATGTTTTATTTGAATTATTTACCGTGCTTCTTGCCCATTTTTATTTTTCTCGTCCTCTTGCGCGCAACATTGACTCAACTAGCTCATCATTTTTCACAAAATCCCATTCGAAGAACCAAGAAAAACTATTTTATGTGTGTGCTTTCACTTACCAAAGTGCCTCTCAGCAAATCCGTCCAGCACAATATCGGTATATTTTCCGTTCTTCGGTACATCTTTCATGGGGTAACAACTGATCATTGTAACATCGTGGCCAGCAGCCACCAAACCCCTCATCAGCTTGGAAGTGAGGATGTTGTGGCTGGTGCCGGCCATTGGAAAGATCCCGAGAATGCGGGCACTTTCAGCATCGGTCAGCAGCACTAAACAACAACAAATTAACAATAAAACTTTCATAATTCACCCGAAATATGCCGGTAGAGGAGTCCACGCTCTTTTAGGTTTTATTTAAATGATGCCATGGCGGTTTGAGTAGCGCCGTCTCGCAGATAGTGGGAATTAAGTGTTTGCCTGTTACTTACTTTTAGTTGGTGGCCATGTGATGAGATTGTATTCAATGGAGTATTTTGCCTCCAACGCATTCAGAGGAGTTTCCTCTGATTTTCTGTTGAATAAAGTTTGGGAAGGTGGTGGTTAAAATTTAAAAAACTCATTTTTCTGGGCAAGTCCTGCTGCAGTTCCAGCACCCTTATAAAATATACGTATCTGAAACTCGCTGGCGAAAGCTCAAGACCTCGGCTTTATTCAAGTTTTGAAAGTTTCAAAATCGGACCATAATTAGGCTTGGACCGAGGTGAAGAGTGTGGAGGGTTTTAAAAACCAACTTTTTCGACTAAATCCGGCTGTAGTTCCCGCATTTTTCAAACTTTCGGTATCTGTAAAATGCCTAAAAGCTGGAAGCTCACTTCAACTTGGCTTTACTCAGATTGATACAATTTTTAAATCGGCACTTAATTATGCTTATACCGAGGTGAATAGTGTGGAAAGTTTGAAAAAACTAATGTTTGCGACTAAATCCTGCTGCAGTTTCTGCGTCCGTACAGGCTTTCGGTACATAAAAACATGCTTTCGAAAGCTCTTAAGTTCCGGTTTATTTTTTTTTATTTAAAATTCGATCCTTAATTGGGCATGGACCGAGATGAAAAGTGGGGAGAGTTTCGAAAAATAAACTTTTTGCCTAAATCAGTATAGTTGTCCTATCTGAAAATTGTGTTCAAGTGTTAAGTGTTGAAATTTTCGAAATCGACCATTAATTGGGCTCGGACCAACGTGAAAACTGTGGAGGGTTTCATAAAACAAACTTTTTCGATTAACTCCGGCTTTAGTTCCCGCGTTTTTACGAGCTTTGCGTATCTCAAAATTGCGTTTAAAAACTCAAAATTTCCGCTTTAATTGGGTTTTTTTAAAATTAGCCCTTAATTTGGCCTGCACCGGGGTGATAACTACGGATGATTTCAGAAAACGATATTTTTTTCATTAAATCCGCCTGCAGATCCAGCGTCTTTACGAACTTTCTTCTGAACAATGCGTTTGAGAGCCTTAAATCCCCGATTTTTTCAAGTTCTTAAAATCGGCACTTATTTTGCCGTGAACCGAGGTGAAGACTGTGGCATGTTTCAAAAAACGATATTTTGTCATTAAATTCGGCTGCAGTTTCCGCGTTTTTACGATATTCCGGTATCTAAAAAATGTTTTTTAACGCTTTATTTAAATATCCGCTTTTATTAGATTAAAAAAAAATTAATGGACCCAAATTTTAAAGTTAAACAAAAACTTTCGAATAAATTTGGTTGCAGTTCCCACATCTTTCCAAACTTTCAGTATCTGAAAAATGCGTTTCAAAACCCTAAATTTTCGTTTTTTTTATTTCAAAATCAGCTCTTAAATGGTATTGAACTGAAATGCAGATTGCGGAGGACTTTTTTGATAATGATATGAATGACTGAATGATAATTTTTTATTTTTTTTTGATGATGAAACGATTTTTTTCCCGATTAAATTCTGCATTTCCAGCGTCTTACGAACTTTCGCTCTCTGAACAATGCGTTCAAAAGCTCTAATTCTCTGCTTTGTTCGAGTTTTTTAAATTTTTAAATCGATCTTTAATTAGTGGAAACTGTGGAGGATCGCAAATTTCGCGAAATTTTCCGAATAAATCCGGATGCAGTTCCCGCATCTTTACGAGCTTTTGGCATCTGAAAAATGACTTTTCAAGCTCCAAATCTTCTCGCTTGTGGCCAACCGGTGTCCTAAAAACTTTACAAGCTTTCAGCAACAAAAAAGTTTGTTCCCAAGCCCAAAATCTCAGGTTATTTGGGTTTTTAAAGTTTTAATTTTGGTTCTAATTATAATTTCTAAAAACTGCGTTCGAAAGATGGAAATTTGTGCTTTCCTTAAGTTTTAAAAATTTGAAAATCAGCTTTTAACTGTGGAGCAAGTCAACAAACAACAAACTTTTTCGAGTAAATCCGGCTGCAGTTTCCGCGCCTTTACGACCTTTGCGTGTTTGAAAATTGCGTTCAAAAGCTCTAAATTTTTAATTTAATTGGGTTTTTACAATTGAAAAATCCGCACTTAAACGGAATGAAGAATATTGAGGACTTCAAAAACTATCTTTCTTAATTAAATCCGCCTGCAGTTCCAGCGTCTTAACGAACTTTCGGAATCTGAACAATGCGTTTGAGATCACCAAATCCCCGCTTTCCTCAGCTTCTTAAAATAAAAAATTTGGCACTTAATTCGGAGTGGACCGAGGTGACGAGTGTGGAGTTTTTCAAAAAACGAAACTTTGGGTGGAAACCAAGGACCAAGGTGGAAACTGTGGGAAAACTCCAGGGTCTCAAAGGACGAAATTTTCCGAATAAACCCAACTGCAGTTCCTGCATCTTTACAAACTTTTGGCATTTGAATAACGCGTTTTCAAGCTCCAAATCTTCGTCTTTTTACAGTTTTTTTAAAACTTCATAACGGGCTCTTAAATGGTCTTGCGCCGATGTGCAGACTGGCGGGTTTTCGGAAGCAAATTTGTTTGATTAAATCCTGAAGTTCCTGTGTCTTTACAAGCTTTCGGTATTGGAAAAATCTCTTCGAAAGCTCTAAATCTCCACTACTCAAGTCGTTTTTACATTTCAAAATCGGTTCTCAATCAGGCTTGGATCGAAGTGACAAGAGTGAAGGGATTCAAAAACGATCTTTTTCCAGTAAATCCCACCGGAATCAGGAGTTTTTGCGAACATTGGATATCTGAAAGATGCGTTCGAAAGCTCGAAATATCTGCTTTATGGAGTTTTTTTTCTCAATTTAAAAATCGAGCCGCCTTGATTGACCTTCTCCCGAGGTAAATAGTGTGGAGAGCTTCAAAAAACACACATTTTCGACTATACCCGACTACAGTTTCCGCGTCTAAATTTTTTTCGCGTCAGTATCTAAAAATGCCATTCATAGCCCTAAATCTTCGCTTTGCTCAGGGTTTGAAAACATAAAACAGTTTAATAAAAACTAACCATTTGACTAAATCAGGGTGAAGTTCGCATGTTAACGACCTTTCCGTATCTGCATACCGCGTTCAAAAGCTCTAAAGCTCCGTTTTATTCAGATATTTGATTAATTTTCACTTTTTTAATTATTAAATTTTGAAAATGGGTCGCTGTTAAGCTTCAACCGAGGTGGTACGTCTGGAAGGTCTCTAAAAAACCTTTTTTTTCGTTTCAAAACAGTTCTTTTTGGGTTTTTCAAATTTTAATTTCGGCCCCTAATTGGGCTTCTTGGGGTAATAAGTTTGGATGGTTCTAAAACAAACTTGTTCGTGTGATAACGGCCGTAGTTCCATGGTGATTAAATGCTTTCTAAAAACTGCGTTTTGAAGCTTGAAGCGTTTCTTAAGTTTAAAATAATTCAAAATCAGCCCTTAATCGAGCCTGTTTCGCGGTAAAGAGTTTAAAGGGTTTTAAAAACAAACTATTCGATTTAAAAACGACCGTAGCTTTGGCTCCGATGTAGAGTTTGGAGGGTTTCAACAAAGGAACTTTCTGGTTTAACAACGGCCGTAGTTCTTGGGTCTATATGAATTTTCTGCATCTAACTGTATTCGAAAGCTCCAAATGTGCGCTTCTCTTAGCATTTAGACATTCGTTAATTTGCGCTGAATTGTGCTAGTTCCCAAAGTAAATCGGCTCGTAGTTCCAGCGTTTTTACTGGCTCTCGTCATTTGAAAACTAGTTTTGAAAGCTAGAAATCTTCGGTTTTATCAGGTTATTGACGTGTCAAAATCTGCCCTTCTTTGGGCACATTTCGTGATAAAAAGTTTAGAAAATTTCAAAAAACAAACCTTCTTGCTTGTGGTCGGCCGGATGGTTCTAAAAACAAACTTTTTCGTGTGGTAACAGCCGTAGTTCCGGTGTGACAAAAAAGCTTTCTAAAAACCGAAAATCTGTGTTTTCCTTAAGATTTTTTTTTACTCAACCCTTCATCGACCCAGTTCCACGGTAAAGAGTTTGAAGGGTTTTAAAAACAAACTGTTCCATTTAAAAACGGCCGTAGCTTTGGCTCCGATGTAGAGTTTGGAGGGTTTCAACAAAGGAACTTTCCGGTTTAACAACGGCCGTAGTTCTTGAGTATATATGAATTTTCTGCATCTAAAAACTGTGTTTGAAAGATCGAAATGTGCGCTTTTCTTAGCATTTAGACATTTCCTAATTTGCGCTGAATTGGACTAATTCCAAGGTAAAGAAAAAGTAAAAACAAACTTTCCCTGTTAAATCCGCCCATAGTTCCAATGTATTAACGAGTTTTCAGTATTTCAACAGTGCATTCGAAACCTCGAAATCTTAGCTTTCTTCGAACTTCTTAGCTTTCTTCGAAATTTTGAAATCGATCTTTAATTGGCTTCGGACCGGGATGGAAACTATGGACGATCTCAAAAAGCAAAATTTTCCGTATAAATCCGGCTGCAGTTCTCGCATTTTTACGACCTTTCCGTATCTGCATGCTGTGTTCAAAAGCTCTAAAGCTCTGCTTTATTCAGGTTTGGGGGTGAAATGGGTCGCTGTTAAGCTTCAACCGAGGTAGTGTGTCTAAAAGGTCTTAAAAAATTTTTTTTGCGGAAAAATCCGACCGTAGTTCCAATGTATTAACGAGTTTTAAGTATTTCAACACTGCATTCGAAACCTCAGCTTTCTTTCAGTTTTGAACGCGTCAAAATCTGCCGTTCATTGCGCCCGTTAGGAGGTAGAGTTGAAAAAACACACACTCCGCTTGACAACGGCCCTAGATCCTGGAACTTTATAATCTTTCGGCGCTAAAACACTTCTTTCGAATGCTTGAAGTACCCGCTTTCTTCAGGCATTTGCACTTTTCAAATCGGCCGTTAATTGGACAAGTTCCAGAGCAAAAAGTGCGGCAAGTTTCAAAAAACCAATTTTCCCAGTTAATCTCGTCCGTATCTCCAGCGGTTTTAGTACATTCCAGTGCTCCAAAACTGCGTTGAAAATCCGAAATCTGCCAGGTTCTT